ACTCAAACCTTTTATTCTATGATTCATTGTAAGATGTCAAATTATTTTTAGGAATGGGGATAATATAAGTGAATAAATAGTGTCTCTCTAATACATGTGGATGTCTAGATTCTGCCTTTGAACATATCTAATTTTCCTAGAAATACATATTTAGTTGCAAATCTTAATATCTGGGACCCTAATATTATATATGTAGAAAGTTAGGGGTAAGAGAATTCATTGATTTGGAAACAGCCTATAATAATATTCATGGCTCTAGCATGAACTTTCTGTTTCTTCCCTGACATGTTGGATCATATTTTGACAAAACCAGTGGGACTAGATTATCTCCAAAAGGGAAATAAGGACATTTCTGCACAGTAGGCTGGCTGCAAAGACAAGAGAGTAAGCCACAGCTGGCCTCTCTTAATATCCTTGCTCAAAATGCAACTAGTCTAGTCTAAGCTTATTTCCACTTGTAGCCTTTTTGTTTGTTTGTTTGCAGAGGTTCCTTCAAATGGGAACTAAAGCAATAGCAACCCATTTGGCTTCAGATCTGTGGTACAATGATCCAGCCTCTAGGAACATAAACATACAGATTTTGCTTTTGTTGGTTTGACTGTCTACTTGCTTTTTCAAGATGACTTTTTGACAAACAGTATTATAAAGCAATTACAGATAGCAGATATCTTATGAGATGCTGTCAGTACTTAAAACCCTTTCTCTGAGAACCGCTAACCTGGCTCACCCCTCTTCCCTCCCAGCATCCCTGGGTAACACGGTCTTCCCCCTGCTTCTCTGACTGGGTTTATGGAACCCAGAATTTACAGTTGGATCCACATGAACTGATTACATTCTTCCACAAGAAATCTGATTCTAATTCCTTTCCATTTCTAGGAGTTGCTTCAACTGATAGCCTACAGGATTTGTGTTGGGGGTACAGAGAAGCAAATAAGCCAGTTTACAGAATGCACAATGCAGAAAACAAGCCAGGCGCTGAAGAGGGAAGAGGAATGGGAAGGGAAAGAGAAGAGAAAGAAAGTGTGCAGGGGCTGACAGTTCTTGCCTGCCATTTCCTGGTCCAATCCTGCACATGTTCCCACACTTGGATGTGCTAAGGAATATCTGTACCCTTATAATAAATGCCTGGATGTTGTCTTATTTCATTTGTGTGTGCTTGCTAACACACATGATTTGAATCATTCATTCAATGATTCAAATCAAGGATGAAATGGCAATATCAATTTGAATGTACCATATTCTGCTTTTATAACTAAGTTATTGTCCACAAATGCTGCCATTTCAGAGCAATATTGACATCAACTCAAAGAAGCAAAGTTAGCATTGTGAGAAAACCTGAATTCTGAGAACTGTGGGGGAAAAAATTAAGGGTGAAAAGTAGCAAGGAAAAAATCAAAGGGCCAAAAATTTAGCCTGTTACAAGTACATATATATGAATATAAAATTAAACAACCCAAATTCAGTTCTAAAAATATATAAGCCAAACATTAAATTATAATAACTACTAGGTTGCAGATGATTGTACAACTGAACTATTAAAATATTTAACTATTAAAATAGATCTACACCTATTGATATAATAGGATAAAGACTGGGTATACTTATTTTTGGAAACTTAAACCCTTGTTCTCTTAAAGACTTTTATTGAGATAACATCAACATCTGCATTGTAAATCTAAATATGTTAGTTTAACAAGCTCCTATATACAAAGTAGGAAAATACACAAGAATTATTAAAAACTCTCATTAGAGTCATAAGTTCTGCCATGTCCATTTGAAAACCATAAAATGATAACAAATGAATACAGATGAATTAATGACAGTACACCAAAGGAAAGCCTGGAGGATTCAGTGTAAGCATGCAATGAATGTAACATTTTATTTCTCTGGTTGTTTTTGGAGATCAGGTCTCACTCCCACCCACCGTCAGGCCAGCATAGACTGCAATCCTCCTATTTTATGCTTCCAACCATAGCTATGATGACAGATTAGTGCCACCACACTCAGCTCTTTTCCTGTTGAGATGGAGTCTCGCAACTTTAGCCTGAGCTGACTTAGAACCACAGTCCTTCCGATCTCAACTTCCTGCATAGCTGCAATGACGGGTGTGCACCATTGCACACAGCAATAGGATGAGATGAGGTCAGGTCTCTCAAACTTTTTGCCCAGGCTGGTCTCAGACCATGATCCTGATCTCAGCCTCCCAAATAGCTAGGATTATAGGTGTGAGCCACCAATACCAGGCTCTAGTAGGGATTTTTTTCCATATAATATAATATAATAAATTTTCTCACTGAGAATATACTGTGGGAAGCCCAGAATTAATAATATTGTACTGTATACTGGAAATTCGTTTAGAGAAGCTTTTAGGTGTTCTTACCCTCTACAGAAAATTGCCTGTGAAAGTGACAGACATGTTAATTTGCCTTACTAGAGTAAGGACTTTATTATGTATATCAAAGCTTCATAGTATATACCTTAAGTCTATAAAATAAAGAAAGAAGTTGTCTCCAGGAATTAACAGAAAAGAAATAAAACAGAAATTGGTCATTTATTTTATAACTAAATTATAATACAAATGTTATACCATGTAAAAGGAAAGTTTAAAAAATTAAAATATGAGGAGTTGACAATAGTTCCCTTAATTTAAAGCTGATGGTTAGGAAAGGAATTCCTTTAATTTAAATGTTTTTATCTTAATGCATTCTATATGTAACCAAGATATCATGTTTTTTTTCTGTCTACCATGGAAATAGAATCTAAAGGCTCCATGGGGAAGCCAGTACACACTTACAGAAGTTTAAGATGGTAAGGCTTGAGAATAGTCAGTCAAGAATTGAACATACTTGTGATGTTCGAAAAACCAGAAAAATCAATAGCAAACCCATCATTACTGTACAAGTTAAAAAATGTTCTCCAGCTAATGGCAGTGGCCAGACAAGCTTTCTACACATGTAGAATAATTAGTTTATCGAGGAGTTTAATTCAGGCCACACAATCTCATTCACTAACAATATGCTACAATTAAGCAATTCTAGTCTATGAAAGTACCAGCTTAATAGATGCAAAAATCAGAGAAAGTACTTGGTATGTTACAAAAATAGTCCCACGAGGGCAGATATTCTTCATGCTTTTCCTTCTATAAAGACCTGGTATGTAGAAACATGTCTAGCACAGAGTAGGTGATGAGCTATCAAATGAAAGTTTTCTTTACAAAGGCCTAAGGCTCAGGAACACCTCACTAGTTCTTTCCCATTCCAAACATTTGCTATGGTTTGACTATTTCTCCTCTCCAGAACTCAGGCTGAAATTTAATTGCTAGTGTAGCAATGGGACCATTCAGAGGTGATTAGACTTAGACCATGAGGGTCTATCCCCATGGGTGGTACTGATGCACTACAAAAGGGCCAATTCATCCCCTATTTTTTCTATCTTGTCCTTCTGCCTTCTGCCATGTGATGAGGGAGTATGAAGGCTTTTGCCAAGTGCCAACACCTTTACCTCTTGAACTCTAAAAAATAAATTTCTGTTCTTTATGTATTACTCAGTCTCAACAAACTAAGACAAAGACAGTATCTGGCTATCCAGGAAATCTTTGTGAGAAGTAGAGATGGGGTTTTGTTCCCTTCTGCCACTGACCAACGGTTTGTAACCCATTCTGGCTATCAACTTCTCATATATAAACCTTAGGAACTGTAAAAAAGGAAGCAACTCCCATTTCTGTAATTTTGCAATTTACATATCCACTCAATTCATTTTTAAAGCTAGTTTTCTAAAGCAACTTAAAATATGATTTGATATATACAAAAAGTTCGCCTTGTTAAAACCTGTAGAAACAAACTCTTGACACAAAGTGAGAGACACATATTGCTATGATTCTGGACACTTTGCCACTTGGGACAATATTTTAAGTGGCATTAGCATATAAACAAAAACTTTCAATGTTCATAGATAATCACTTATCTAACTATAGAAAAAGATATATGCACAGTCCCTGACTTTTCATGGCTTGGCTTCATGATACTTGGCATTTATAATGGTGAGAAAGCAATACACTTTGTCAAGTTTTATGTTTTTCCCAACTAGTGATACGTAATATGATACTTTCTTTTTACACTAAGAGCCACAGGGCCCAGTTAGTCAAATAATAACAGGGTGAACAATTCCACAGTGTACTGTGGTTGCTAAGTTATGATGTTTGGTAAGTTAGGTATATTAAATGCATTTTCAATCATGATATATTCAATTTACAATGGTTTTATCAGGACATAACCTATCGAATTGATGAGCATCTGGACAGTGGCTCACCTTTTTATTTCTATAGACTATCTTAATGACCAAGTGTCCGTGTGTGAGTTGCATTTTATTTTTGTAGTAAAGGAAATTTGTGGTTTCCTGCTCCTCATCAGGCTGTTCCCATTCTCTGGCAATCACATATATAACTGTCTCTCTCCCTCACTGGCTTATGAGTTTTATAAAGAGATGATACAGTACAGATTGAGTAATTCCTAATCTGAAATGCTTGGGAACAAAAGTGTTTCAGATTTTGGAATTTTGGATTTTTAGAATATTTGAATATCTCATATCTTGGGGATGAGCTCCAAGCCAAAAGACAAAACTCATTTATGTTTCATATACACTTTATACACATAAGACTGAAAGTGATTTCATTCATTATTTTACAATTATTACAGTGTACCAGTGTTTGAGTGTGACTTATCACACAAGTTCAGATGAGGGATTGTCCACTTTTGGCATCATGCTGGTTCTCAAAAAGTTCTGGATTTTAGATTTTAGAGGATGTGTAACCTATTTATACAAATGCTCTCTGGAACATTTGGTTCCCAATTGCCTGCCCAGATTCTACCTACTCCTGCTACTCCAATACTGCAGGTCTTCTTATCATAAGATAAAAATTAGTGGGTCCAAAATTGTTCTTAAAGAATTCATTGAAATTATGTAATTTAGATATGTGGAAACACCAAGGGTAAATAACTTACCTGAGCAAGCTTATGCTTTTCTATATTTCCTCCCTTTTCATTGTGTAATGTGTAAACTGGTGTGTATTGTACCAAACCAGAACAGGCCCCGTAATCGTCCTCATTTTCCTATACATGAAAATGTACAAGAAATTACTTCAGACTATTCCTTCTATTATTAAAGTTACTTTATTAACGAAATGTCTGATAAACATGTACATGCCAAAGTACCATGACAGCTGTAAGTTTAAAGGATCCATTTAAGAAGAAAATGAATTTTTCTATAATAGGAATTACTAATTTCCAAAATAATCTCTAGTTATTTTGAATAATCTAAAAAACAATTTATATGAAGATAATTTGCTCTCCATTACTACAATGGAAGTTTTTAAGTAGTATGCTTTCTTCAAAGGCAAAAACTCAAAATGTAACAATTGATAATACAATTTGCAAAGATGTATAATCAAACAAAACATATATACACAGATAAATATTCATGCACCTGCAGTAGGGTGATTCAAATACAAATCCTCATATATAATCCTTTGCAAATTAAGAACATTTTTTAATGGTGCAAATAATGTGTACACATGTATGTAAATGCAAAAATGATATCTGTTGAAAGTGTTCCAGGAATGGGGGGGTCCAAGTAGAGAGGTGGAGTGGGTGAATTCAAGTATGATATATTTGCTACATCATAAGAACCTCTGTAAAGCCACAAGGTATCCCGACACAGCACAACAATAAAGAAAAGAAAAAAAAAAGAACATTCTTCAATTTAAAGTAACTATTGTAGAAAGAGCCTATGAAAACCAAATGATGGCATTTCTGGATTAATTCTAAGCCAAAGAGATTTAAAAAAGAAAAATTCTCAGCTTGAAGCAAGAACTTCAATTGTGATATCAAGGAAATCAACTTTATGAAAACATACATCCTGTTAAAGCATCTTTGAAGAGCTCTACGGTTCTTTGATAAAATATGCAAACAATAAAAAGACTATTCAGTGGATGCATAGAGAATGGCAGACAATTGCCAGAGGGTTTGTTATGAAAAATACATTCTTCAACAAAGGGATAAGCATATTTCAAAAGTCATTAAAACACAAATCTCATGTGACTTGTAAAGTATAAGCTTCAAACCAATACAAGAATCAAGGTAGAATGAAAAGAAGAAAATGACGCACCTTGTGTTTTAGCTTACTCTTCACTTCTTTTAATCCCAGTTTTGCATGATTTTTTGCCTAGAAAATGATAATAAATGTGTTCTACTCAGCATGGTTCTATTATCTTCTATAGAATAAGCATACAAGACCACATTCAAGAATAATTGCTAGCTATTCATGTTTAGGAAAGGAACAACAGAATGTAATCTAACTCTAAACTAAAGGATACCTAGCATTCAGTTACTATTTTCTTAAACCTAAATTAGCTGGTAAAAAACATGGCTAGTATCTATTTACAAATATCATACATAGGCTAACATTTAACCTATCTTGCCTCCTAAACTATAAAGAACACAGGCATCAACCAAATTACAATGCACAGTCTTAATTTGAAATTGTAATCAACTAGGGGCAAAGAGAAAGCAAATCACAGCAGTAAATTATTTGGGCAAATGTTTCAGGCAACTTTACAGAGCTTTATTAAAGTGCTTTTTCAGAAAGTTTCATTAGCAGAGCTATCTCATTGGTGTGGATGCTTCACATATAGATTTTCTGACACAAATTAAAAGCCATTTCACAACTTAACAGTTATTCTCATTTTCCCCAGATTTCAGCTCCAGCATTTGAGTGTCTGAAGTCCTGCTGTGGCGCCCATGGGGCATGGCTGAAGACATCTGGGAGCTTCAGACAATTTAGCCTTTGTCCCACTGGGATTCCCACTCACAGAGGCCAGAATAAAAAAGGAGAGTTAGAATTCACATTTATTTTGAGTTTCCTAAATAAATATATGACTGCATGCTGAGTACTTAGGCAGCACTATCACATTAGTTGTCACAACGACTCATATTTAACAAATAAGAAAAGTGACATGGGGAGAAAAAGTCCACATAGCCTAGATTCAAATCTGGGTCAGTTTAATTACAAATCCCACCTTCTTCCCATCTCAAAGAGGAAGTAGTAAATTCATACCCTGAATTCAAGCCTCACCAGAAAAGAAGGCATTATGTGTGTCTATCTACAGCAGAGGGCACACAGACTACTTCCAAAGCCCTTGCTCCTACTAACTCCTCCTGCCTTCAGTAGCTTTGCAGAGGAGTGAATACACGGCTTTAACAAGTCCCTTGAAGGGAAAGATTTTATTTCTTTCCAATTACCATATGCAGTACCCAGCACAGTATCTGGCATATAGTTTTGAACTGAATGAAACAATTATTTCCTCATTGTAAATGGAGCAAAACATTACTATAGTAACTGATAATCTGAAAAGTCAGCTAACACTAGAACATAGGCTATGGTTCTTTAGAACTGATAAAGCACTTCCCCATTACTTTATAAGACCATTGAGTCTACTCATAGATTCAATATTTCTATTACGTAAAGACATATAATTACCAAGGAAAAATTCTTCTGTTCCCATTTCTTAGAATCTGTACCCCACATTTGGACCGTATTCTAGTTTACCTAAATATCCCCTAACCCACCTGATCATGCTAATCTTTTTAGATTTCCCCTACTGTAGAAGTTGAATCTATTGCCAGACTTTCCCTGGTTCTCCAGTTTGTATAGTGATTAATCGAAATGTCTATCTTTGATCATTTACCAATTACCTGGAAAATGAAGAACAGGTTCTTTCTAGCTTTTTCAATTTACCATGTTGAAATTTAACAGTAAACAACAAGGGTTTCAACAGAAATGCATCAAGCAAATGGCTTTGACTAATAGAAGAACCTAATAAAAAGATGACTTAGACAAATTCTTTAGCCAAATCAAATGCACATTTCATTTGCTGTAATTCTTAGATGTATGGGAGTGTGAGTTCACCTCCAGTTTTCTTTATTGCCCATACAAGCATGAAAAGGCTTATAGAACAGCTTACAGAATATATAGGAAAAATTTCAGGCATAGTAATAAGTACACAAAATGTTACAAGTAAGGACAAAAATCATTCTTTTCTTCAACAACTATGTCAGTACCTCTGTAATATGTTCAAAACACAGAGAAAAGTGATGAGGATACAAATATGAAAATAGGAAAAGTATCTCTCTCACTCACAATACCTCTTATGGTCTCTGTTCGATCTTTAAGATGAAGACAAGGTTTATTGCATGACAGACACTCTAATAATTTGTTGAAGAAAAACAGAGGTTAAAACAGGGCTGCCTCTTTGGGAAAATTAACAATTGACAGAAAATCAAGTTAAATACTTCCATTATCTCCACACAATAGAAATTGAGAGTTTTATTCAGAGTAATTTACAGGCAAAGAAGGAACTTCAGCAAAATGAGCAGTCTGGAAAGATTACTTTTAGGTAAAATTATGATCATCACAAAATGACTTATTTATCTGCCTCAGACTTCTTGATTTATGTGTGACATGATCACAAGATAAATGACAAAAGTCACTAAGTATATTCTAAGACCTCAGTTTGCCTAAAATTAATTGAGGGTGCAATCCTCCCAGAGAATTTTTAATTTAGAGATTTTATGTCTTTCAGTGAGGGTTCAAAATAAAACACTCTACTGATTAGGATAGAATTTTAAATAATGGACAAAATTTTGAATATGTTTGCTTTATTCACTGAGAAAGCATATGAAGGTATTTTTCTAGAATCACAACTGCCCTGAATATTTCTACACAATACATGACCTATTCAATTAAAAACAGAGAACGTAAAATAAAACCCTCATTGAACAGTAACCCACTAGCTTCTCCCTCAAAAAGCTACCCATATAGAACCACAGATGAATATGTACACAGACAGAGCAAGCAGCCAGCAAGTTCCTGGCATTCCTATGGGAACACAGACACATCTACATAATTTTGTTATTTGTGTGGGATTGGGGAAAATGTGGGGGGGTTTTCTCAAGGAAAACCTATATCTGAACTAAGAGTCTTAGTTGTCACCAAAAAGACTTTTAGGCTTGGTGTGATGGCACAAACCCATAATCCCAGTTACTCTAAAGGCAGAAGCAGGAGGATCCTGGTCTGATGCCAGCCAGGGCAAAAATGTGAGACCCTTCTTGAAACAAACTAAAAAACTAAAAAAGCAAAAATAAGTAAATAAAGTTATATTACATTAAATTAAATTGATCATGACTCAAGCAGTAGAGCACTCGCTTAGCAAGTACTAGCCCTGAGTTCAATCCCTAATACCACAAAAAAAAAAGAAGAGAGAGAGAAAAGAAGAAGAAAAGGAGAGAGATTTTAACTAATGAGAATCCATGAGTCTTTGAGGGAAGAGAGATTTTTCTACTTGAGTCTCAAGTACACAAGGGAATTTAAAACCTGCTGTATGAAAGAATCAAATTTTTAAAATGGCACCTTATCATGGCCTACACAATTACTATACAATTTTGCCAGTAGCTGTTAAATAAAATGGAGATACTTTTAGAATATATGAGGAACATACTCTTTCTATAGAATGGTAGAATTTAATAACTAATTTGCTTTGGTCACTATGAACTCAAAATTTGTTTTAGAGCTTATGATTAAACATAGAAAATATTGTGAATTTACATACCTAGGTAGAGAAATGTATACTTTTATCAATACAATTTTGAAATATAAAAAAGGAAACTCACAAATTTATATGCTGTTCGCACAGCAGGAGTTGCTTTGGTCATTGCTGTGTTGAACAGTGCACCTCCTTTCTGCCAAGAAAAACAGAGACATATTTCCAGAAACATATTTCCATACTGTCCTGAAAACAAAACACTGTTAGTAGAGTAGGAAAAGAACTTTACTCACAAGTGAAAGACCTATAAAAATTATTTCATGCTTCATGTTCTTAGGTTTCTTTGATATTTCAAAGTTTGTCTACAAATAAATAATTTTAAACAATACACAAACACTCTATACCATTCTTTTGGTTGGTATAACACATCATTTAAAACAATTTCATCTTGTAGGTTTAGGTATAAGAGTAACACGGACAGTAATATATACATAGTTAAAGCTCAGTAAAAAAGGAAGACAGTGTTCCTCGGGTATTTTAATGTCAGACAATAAAGTCTCAATCTGTAGAAGAGTTTTATATAAATACCATGTTAACAAAGTCATGTTACTGATACTATAAAATCCCCACCAACCCTACTACTCCATCCAATGCCTTGCTCTGGAATGTAATATAAAGTGGCAAGGAAATCTTGGTTTTAAAACAAGCTGTTTATCTCTGGACAAAAGATTTCCATTTTAAAATTATTTCTATGACTATTAACAAACTATAAACAAAATCAAAATACTTAAAGTATGAGAAAGTATACACACATTTCAAATATTATAAGTAAGCAGCACAAATATAAACATTCCTGCACACAAGTTGAGTGAAAGAAGAAACTTTGCAGGTTTTTTATTACCTTGACTGTGTGCACCCACTGTTGATATGACTTCGGGTTCCCTGGAATATATAAAAATTAGATGCCAGAAATGTTTGATCAAAAATATATGTAAAAAACAAGTACTAGTATTTCCTGTATTTTAGTAGGCAAATTTTATTTCTTATATAATAGGCAATGACATTTTAACAGTTAATAAACAGCTCTAATTCTTAGCAACAGAGTAACTAGTACCTTTTACATTTGATGATTACTTTTCTTAACTCATATATAAAGCTAATATTCTATATTCTTTAATTTTAATATTACTTTCTGTGGGGGAGATATAACCTCTCTTTTGAAATCCAAAACTCCTATGCTTTTAAACTGATATTTCAAAGTTTTATGTCTATGTTTGTTTGTAAATGCTTACCACTTTTACATAATTAAGTTCATTTAAAAGTACTTCAAGTGCACAGAGAAACAGGAAACTGGAAGTAAATCTGGATATACAAAAAATGGTGAGAACAAAGAAATAATATTATTCTGTGGTTGTTAAATATTAACAGGTGATTTTATTTTAGTGCAACTAAATTGCAGTTTTATTTCTGAAAACATTCTCTAGTCATAAATCTGCAAATATGAAAGATGCTACCTACAGACATGTAAATCAAATGCAACATTTAGGCTACAGAGCACTGTGGTTATTAGGAAACTCAAATGCCAACAAAAATCTTATAAAAACTGGTTATCAACATTCTTCCTTAGTCAATAAGATAAGATTAGAAGGCAAAAAAGAAACAAAGGCACAGAAGTAATCTGTAATCTTTCATATCAGTTGATTTCATTTAGATTTAACTATCTTTTGCTTGTTTAAGTGCTAGATTACAAAAGTCACTATTAAAAAAAAAAGTCCCAATGGAGACTCAATCACTACCAACACAAAAAAAACCCTAAAATCAGACCACGTTCTTCTTTTGGTGTGGCTTAAAAACACAGCTATGTCCTTGAAGTCACAAAGTAAGAGGAAGCATAATCCCAGCCCAAGAATTTCCAGCTGTTATCTTTGCATCACTGATTAAAATCAGGCAAAAGGGCTGGCAGAGTGGCTCCAGTGTTAGAGCGCCTGCTTAGAAAGCTTGAGTTCCTAAGTTCAAACCCCAGTACCACAAAAAAAAAAAAAAAGGTCAGGCAAAAAGTGTCCCACCAGGATTATTAAAATCTTTCACTGACTTGAAAGAAATGGCAAGAAACTTTTATTCCAATAAATACTCTTACCAATCACACTGCTATTGTGCCTTTTTTGGAGAAAGACATAGACAGGGAAATAATATTTTTCCTTATCTTTTGAAATGACTAGAGCAAAATGTTATCTACTTAAAATGACTTAAGCTAGGCACAGTGGCTCATGCCTGTAATCCTAGCTACTCAGGAGGTAGAGATTGGGAGAATTAAGGTTTGAGACCAGCCATGCAAAAAGTTCGTGAGACCCCATATCAACCAATAAAAAGCTGAGCATGGTAGCATATGTCTGTTATCCCAGCTACATGACAAGCTCAAACTACAGGATCAAGGTCATTAGAAAAAACTTAAAAAAAATGTTTTTTTAATTTGTAAGACCTCTATCTCAATAAAAAAAAATCTGAGCATGGTGGTATGCCTTTTCATCCTAGCTATGGAGAGAAGCCTAAAATAGGACTGCAGTCTGGTTGGCCTGGACAAAAAAGTGACACCCTATCTCCAAAATGACCCCACAAAAAGGGCTGGAAGTGTGGCTTAAGTGGTAGAGAACCTTCCTCACAAGTGTGAAACCCTGAGTTCAAATCCCCATACCATCAAAAAAAAGATTGAGTGGAAAACACATATTTAACAGTTGAATGTTATTTCCCAAAGGTACAGAGAAAAATGATAATTTAGCATTCTGGAATAATGATGGAATGACAGGTATGTGCCACAGCCCAAAAAAACAAATTTTAACCCCAGAAAAATTTGAACCACAGAAAGAAAATAACTTCCATGGAACTTCAGAGAAGTTACAGAAAGGTTTCTGTCTGGTAGAGAACTGTGAGAGATTAAAAAAAAAAAGTTCATATTCAGCGCATTTCAGGTTGTGAAATGTTTTTTCTTGCTTTACATAATCTGAGTAGCATCTTTCTAATGTGAACCAGGCAAAGTGGGGGTGCCATGGGCAGTGCAGGCTGTGAGAAGGCTGTGGGTCCTGGGGAGTACAGGTCCACACAGGAAGGTGCCATCTAGGTCCCCCATGTAACTGGACCTCAGCTCTGTCCTTCACCAATACTAATAATAGCTGGTACCCTTCCTGAATAGGATGAAGAGGAAAGATGACGACACTGTGTTTAATGTGGTGTGAGGCAACTGAGGTTCCAAGATGACACAAGAGTAGCTACTGAGAAAGATAAGAATCCAGGCGTTTTAATTCCAGCTTCACTATTCCTTCAACTCTGAAATGTACCTCCAGGACTGCCTTATAAAATATAGTATCGCTTAAGTTAGACAGAGGCTTCCTCTGTGCCACTTCCAGAGTGACTGCATTAGGAAGAGAAAGAGAGCCTGACTAGTGAGAATTACCAGCTATAATCTACAATTATGAGGTACGAGTGCGAACGGGAACCCCTAGGAGCAAACGCGGGGTTTAGGGTGATGCGGAAACATGGCATAATTTAGGTGAATTTCTATCTTAAAATGTAAAGGTTAACGGGCTCTTTAAATTTTAATGTTTTTATGAATGAGGGTTCCAGTTTCCACAAAATTTATGAGATAAGCACATAATTTTTCAGTAATGCTAAAAATAAAACTATTTTCTTAAAGATAAGTTTGAATGCCAAAAAAATCCATCCATCTTTCTTTTAAATAAACTGTTTTATGCCAGCTAATAAGCACTATTGAGAAAATTCTTAACATTATTCTTTTAATCAAACAACCGAGTTTGTTCTACTCAAGAATGAAATTGCTGCATTTTTCACTTGTGCAAAGACTGTCTCTTCAAGTATATTGCTTTAAATTCCACTAATTTGTGGTTACTTATCAAAGTACCTAAGTTAATCTGATTTGTTCAATGTGGCCAGAAAAATGCCACTAATACTGATAAGCAGCTACCGCCTCTTCAAATTCTGTAATATTTTATTTAGTCAGTAAAAGAAACAAAGACTGACCAACTTACACAGGTAACCAGTGAAGACATACTTTTATACCACACTCTTATGTAGAAGGACTCAAAATATTTCTCCTTTCTCAAGCTTAGACAATCTGAGGTGGGTCTAAGAACTACTTTTATTCTAACTAATATTTATAAAATCAAACTAATATTTATAAAATCATGTCCTTAACTACCCAATATTCCTAGCCGCTTTCTCACAGACTAACATTTGTGGTTTACCTAAGTGTGTCCTTCATTCTGCTCCTGTCTTCTCTTCCTACCTTTAACCACCATGGATACATTTCCCTTTACACACTTCCTGATATCTTTATTACTTTTCTTTTAAGTTAAAGCTGAATATTCTGCAAGTCTTACAAGAGGAATCAGGTGTAACACACGCTTCCTTACCAGTCCTGAGTATGAAGACTAACGGATCAGTAAAGAGTTTTCGAAAATCTCTGTGGTTCACATCCGATACAAAGATTCATAGTTCTAGATTCAAATGTTAATCTACATGATCTGTATCTGATTCTTCTGCACTGCACATGTTTAATTAGAGCCATAATTACAAAGCTCTACTGTGAATATCCGTGACAAAAACTGTTTGCAAACTACCATTGCAATGATAAGGGAGACAGAAAATAGATACCTCTTTGAAATTTCCTCATTTTTTTTTTTTTTTTTGCTTAAAGAAACAATTCTTTTCAGTTTTAGTTGATGTTAATTTCTCATAGCCCAGTGATTTTCTCTGGGCTTTATTTGTAAAAAGTCTCCCAGAGATAGTCAGAAGAGACAAGTAATTTTGTTTTATTCAATTAGAGTGGAAAGATGGAGTATACTCTTGTTTATTAAATGTTTTCTCATTAAGATATCTTTAAACTATGAAGCAGGATCATGGAGACCAGATAAGACATGAAGTTCATACTCCAACCTCTGTTTTCCATGTGACATTAAGTGAGTCACTCATCTGGGTGCCCTCATCAACATGGGACAAAGTTCCTGTTTTGGACGGCGGCCGGCGCTCAAATGGTAGACACCTGCCTTGCAAGCATGAGGCCCTGAGTTCAAACTCAGTACCGCAGAGTACTCCATAGGGTAAAAAGAGATGTTTGTTGCTGTCTTGGGAGAGTTTCTGTCATGTATCAGCACTCAATAACTATCTGCAGCTACAATTATTACAATTACTATGAGAGACATGACAAGGCAAGGTAGACATCATGACACAGATGTACTCGTCCTTCTCATAAATGTTTGGAGGAGACCTCAAGGAACTATTTTTTGAAACATACATGCATATCCCTGATAGATGTCTCCTAATTAGTAGCTTATAAAGTATTACTAACTTTTATGAAAGCATTAATTTTTCTTATTTAGACATCTACTGAACTATACTGCACTTTCTTCTGAAAATAATCTCTATGTCTACCCAAAACACAGCTAAAAATAACTCTGGCATAATTTCTTAAGGAGCTTTCTTGTTCACCGAAATTAGAAGCTGTTGACCTAGGCCTTTCTTTTAGATACGCAATGCAAAATTTCATAGCCTTTTTCATTTAATAAAGAGCCATTGGCATTGAGTCGCACTGAAAGGCAGACATCTCGAAGCCAGATAACAGCCAGTGCTTACATCTGCTTTTAAGCATTAAGACCTTTAGTAAAAATTTAGTCACTCTCTTCCACCAGAAAAGTCAGCTCTCTCTACTCTATCACAGAGGTATCTGGAGCAATGGTGATTACTACAGAATTTAACTGTACAGAAGGATCATAGTTCTGCCCCATTACTGTCACAAGGTGTCATCTCCAATTCTACAAAAGCCACTAGCCCCACAGGTCATAAAAATAATGAGACAGTGGTTGTGTAAATACTGAGTAGATGGCTCTAGCAATTTGTCCATAAGCTGACAATACTTTTGCTTTTCTGAGTTGAAAAGTAAGAAAGTGTTACCTTAACCCAAAAGTTCCATTGAAGCAAAATTTTCACCCATGAGCCAAGGAAAGCAAGGAGTGGAACAATTCCACACTCAGCTTAGTTGCTGAGTCAAATAAACTGACTTTTCCCCAAGCTAAATGTTCTCAATGAGATTCTGTGCTCACATCAGGTAAGGGTCTACAAGGCTAAGCTCATTTATGATGTGAAAGTATTTAAGAATAAAATTAAATGAAATTTGTAGGTGAGCACTTACTACTTTTTGTCTTTTTATAAATTATTTCTCAATGCTAGCAACTATTTATTCACACATGGACTAAAACCTTTGTTCACAAAGCAAACCCACAAAAAGCAGAAAAAGTTCTATTGTACCAGGTTAAAATGAGCACATCGAGATATGGAGGAATGGAATTTTTGCTAATTTAGCTTACCCAGAACTCAGAACATGACATAGTAAGCATTTACCAATACTGGCATTTCAAACACTCAAGCAAAATCTTCTACAAGTCAGGACAAAGTATCAGTTCACAATTAGCTCAGAAATCATTAATTGCCTAGATAATTTATAACACTGAAAATTTACATTTGAAGAAACAATTATGTTTGTAGAATGGTGAACTTAAAAACTTTTCTAATGTTGCAGCAGTCAGCAAAGTAAATTGAGTAAAGTCTTCTGAATATTAATCCACTTGCTTATAGAGTGAGTTGTGGTGCTCTAAAAATTTCCTTTTGGATTATGTTGCCATGGACTATTTCACTCATAATCTGTTTTTAAATACATAAGTCATTCTCTAGAAGAGACCACTTTATTCAGAAGAAACTATAGGATTTAAAATACACACAATTTGTGTGTCATTTATTTCCAATAATATTGAGAGAGTCTCAGAGCCAAGAGCAACCTTTCTGCCTTCATAACAAATATCAGGCAAAATGAATTGATACCACATTTCCTATAAGATGAAAAGTATATTTAAGACATTGTATGTTTATGAGAGACTAGCTCTTTATGAAATACATTATATCAGAACAAAGTGAAAAAAATCAAGATATTAGAAAACATAATTATTCTGTAAATAGTCCTCACCTCCACAAAAGCCACCTGCAGTGATCTCTTCTTCAAATATATCAGAGAAACCTTTTCCTGCATTTAATTTTGCTAGTCGACCATCGATAAACTGAAATTAAAAAGGATCAAATATGTTCATTTTTCATAGTATTAGCTTTTACTTATATCAAGAATGTTAATAGCAAATTCTCTCATATAATTATGCAGATATAAATGATATATGCGTATATACATGAAGTTTTCAAACACTGTAAAGAATAGATGTTCAGTAAACAGCAGTTAATTGTTAAATTATAAATGTCCAGCCAAGACTTTAGCTTTATTAATAAGAAAAGGCAGAATGCAGAAGTGAAGGATTTAGGCTTTGTATCAGTTGTTCAGTGCACAGCCCCTGTAGAAGGGTTTGCACAAAAGCCGTGTTGCCCTGTCAAGTCATTTGCCCATGGGGTTGAGACTTCTCAGTCTGTTTTCCTAGCACCTGGCTTATGGTGTTGGATTAGCCTAGGTACAGTACCTGGCAGTAATATCCAAGGTTGTTGTACATTATAGTCTTGAGATTAGTTAAATAAAACATTGTTTGTCTAAACTATTATGTCCGAAATTATACCTGAGTACTAGGTAATTCTAACCATTTAATAATAAAATAAATATAACTTTCATAATTCTTAGTATCGTTTTTTGACTGAATGATCAGAATTTGAATTATTAATTTAAATATAGTTGAATTAAACATATATTGCCTTGACATGCATTATGTTATTCTAAATAATATTCTTCAGTGTTCTAAAGGAGAGATTTGAATGAAAAACAGAAGCTACCATAAGCACCTGGAAAATGCAGTTACCTTGGAAAGCACCTCCTGTCACCTGTTCTGCCCCATTCCTACTTGTTCCAACACATACAGAATGTCAAAGCTTTGTGGCACTGATGGTGCCCCTGAAATCACCCCCCAGGTATGTGGGTATGTAGGTTGATTGCAATATTGATTATTGCAATCAATAATGTTCTTTAAATACATATGTATTACTGATACTTGGTTACTTTTTATTTTTTGGGTTTTGGCATCTAGGAGGCGATGTCTTCACGATGCAGATGAAATATCTCTGAGGTTCCTTGCGTAACAGGCAGGGGATAACACAGAAAAGATTAGATGCTTGTTGAAGGGTAAAACTGAAGATTTGAGGAGTAACATGAAGTTTTCATATTCATTATGAAATTAATTCATCCTGACCGTGACTTTCACTCTCAAAATTTAAATTTTAACTGAATTAAAATAAAACAGCTTGACATTAAAAAAAAATCTCATACTCCGCACCAGTTTTCTATTTGAATGGCTAATAGAGAAAACTAATTGGGAGTCATTGTGTGGAGAAGTACGGTATTCCTCATGCAGCAATTTAAGGTCATTAAAAACAGTTACAGTATAAGACTTTCAGATCAGAGTCAAGAAATAATGGCAAATGGATCAATACATGCCCATTCAAAATGTATTGTAACTATCTCCTTATTGTCATAGAACGCTTTTGAAAAAAATGTGGTAAGATGGGTTTAAACAAACATAACTTTAAATGATAGTCTTGACTATTTTGGAGCTTGGGTTACTCTCACAAATCCTGGAGCTCTTTGAGACCATAGATTACCCATTTTCATATCCTCAATAGCACAAATGTCATGGAGTTTGGAGTGTGAAAGGCAGCATCACAAACCTGCTAAATAGCTTTATGATCTTGGGCAACGTCTCCCCTGAGACTCTGTTTCCCCTTCTATAAAGTGGGAATAATAATAAATACCTATGGATATTTGTGAGAGCTAAATAAAATACTATGAAGTGCCTCTATGACAGACACAGAATAAATGCTAAATAATAATGTCTTTCCTCATTTCCACTGCCTGCTCCATCTCTATCAACTTACAAGCTTCCTGAGGGGCACATCATCTTTGCCATGTATGCATCTTCAATACCTGGACTTAGCAAGAGCACCTGACATACAGTTATTTTTTGTTATTTTTGTTTGTTTGTGTATTTTTGGTGCTGGGGATGGAACCCAGAGTTAATTCCTCTGCCGCTGAGCTACACACCTGTATTCCTGACACATTTTGAACTGAATCAATGTTGCTGAAAGACTGAAGCAATGCTAAAGGTCATATACTTTTACCCAGCTATAAAGTGAAATAATTTTACAGAATTAATTCATTTAATGCTATCTTAGATCAAAGTTAATAACACAATGCTGACTTCTTTTTGCTAATGGTTAATTTGAAAGCAAGGCAATTTAAAACACATGTAAAATTTGACTTGCACACATTTTCAACACAAGCAAGATAAATGAAATTAAAGTGATCTAATTTCATGGACTAAGTATCATCTTTTAAAACATAAGGTGAAAGCAAAATGAACATTTAAAGTAATGCATTACTGGCAAGAGAAACAAACCACAGCGTCCTTTTAAAGGACTTAATTTGTGCTAAAAGATTAAGAGTATAAGATTTTTTAAAAGGTTTTCATTTTTGTGTTTACTGAAAATAATCCATCCATTTTATTAAATGAGTGGAATAGTTCAAGTGAGAAAGAGATAAATCCCAAAACTATTTAGGGATTGTGCATTTTTGAGCATGAATAACTACCTTATGTCACTTAAAAACGAGTGATTTGAGCCAACAGAAATTAATCATTTGGTAAAATGCCGCATGTTATCACTGACTTTGCAAACAGTCCTGTCAGTGACAGTCAGACACCTACCAATGTACACACAATAAAAATGTTTGCTCTTCCAATAAAAGATTGATTATGTGTACAAACACACAAAGGTTACATGTACACATACACAAATACTGACACCCAGGAAAATATGTGGAAAGGTGGTATTAATGGAGAGGAATGCTAAATGTGATCATTCCCCAACTGCTTTTTCTATTTTTGAGTCAATAAGAGCTATATTTTTCCAAGTGGAGTTGGTTCATGGTCATGTCACTCTAACAACTCTGGAACATTTCATAGTGTGTAAGGGACATAAGAACATGGTAAGGTACTGCTGCATACAAATAATTTTGAACTAAAACATCTCTGTGAAAAAGTTATGACTCTATATGTGCCCCAGCATGTTGCTTGATTAATAGTTATTATATCATTTAGCAACCCATGTGTCTTTAGGTAATTGGAATCACAGTTTTGGGAGAATTAGTTTGTTGTTGCAAATAACATTGATAACAATGAAAGGGATACAGATGTAATTTAAAACTAGGTTGTCAGTAGCTTTTTGGGAGAATTTAAGAGTTTGCTTTAAGATGGGACTTTTTACATATGTCTTAATATCTTACTTTTCATTCCAAAAGAAAAAATTATAATCTACAGCTAAGCATGCTAAGTAATCACAGCAAAGCACAAAGAATTGGAAACCTTACAAAAATTAATTACCTTGTAATTCCACAGTATGGATTCTGATTTGTTATAAATTATGAAGATAAAATTATGTACATAATATACATAATTACCAAGATAAATATGTATAATTCCCAAGATCAATGATATTTTTCCCTCTAAATCACCAAATGTAAGAACTAGGTTTTGTTAATCTTCATGACATGATATAAAGAATGACAAGTTGGAGATAGTATTTCCAAGCACCAAAATTCCTTTCTGCTATTGTTTTTGATATGATATAACTAAGGTTTTAAAACTTTTTTTATCTTCAAATAGTTATCTTTATAGAGAACTGATTCAATTTAAACAAATGACCTATTTCTTTAAACATTTCAGTAAGCAGTATGATTTATGGAAGTGAAAATTTACCATAAATGTTTGAAAATACAATTAAATATAAAATGAATGTTTAAAAGTGTACATAATTTAGAACATAGACTTGATGGCAAACTTCTTTCCAAAAAATATAATGTTCTGATCGATTCACCCATTAAGTTTGAACACATGGTCAGCTGTCCAGGAGGAATGCAACTGTTCTCTAAAGGTCAGTTGTACACTTTCCTTTAATTATTCACTGGTCAGCACACTTCCAGCATTTGATTTAAAACTCTAAAACAGGTTATGTGATTCTCAATGTCCTAATGTCCTTAGTGATAATTTGGTCATGCAACCAAAACTCTGAGATGTCCATAAATGAATTTCAGGATTCTGATATTTACAGTGAATCTATCTGATTTTGGAAAAAGCTCATGAAAAAAGATTGTGCTGATGACTCAAGGCCATGATCCAGTTCTTCATCTCATTGGTCAAGGGCACAAAGTGCTGTTCTTTTGTGCTAACCTGGCAGCCCTGGCACTGAAGCAGAGCAGCAGAGACCCTGAGCAACATGGTGATCAAATCTACACACCCAGGGCCTGCCTACTTCAGCCTGAAGGAATCCACCCTACCTCAAAACTGTAATCTCAAATTAGAATCTCGTCATGGGTATGAACAGATCTGATACAATAAAATTGTCTTGACAGCTCGAGAAAAATAGTGTTTTAAATGAATTAGAAGTCTTATGCAAATAAAATTTTAAATAAAGTAAATATGCCCTTTAATATATTGATTTCTTAATGAACCTTTAAAATTAAAAATAGTTTAATTTAAATAATTTTTCTTATAAATGCTTAGTAAATTTTGACAGGTTAGTGAAAACTATAATAAATTGCTACAATAAAATTAATCAGCAGGTATTTGTAGACATCTGCTAAATGTGAAACATTTGGTTAGTAGATATATATACACATGCACACACACGCATACACACATGCACATATACACATACATACATGCACACACACACACACACACACACACACAAACTACTGCAGCACATAGAAATAAGGTAGGTTGTTTTAGAGTTCAAACCAAGAAAGTAAGTATTTGCCAGAATGGAAATAAAATTACTTTTATACCATTTCAGATTAGTTAATTAGATGACTATAAGGCTCCACTAAATTAGATTATTATGGTATAATGCATGGGAAAACACTCTGAATTGTATAATGAACCCATTAAGTGTAACTTATTAGCATTATTATTGAGACTAATAAAGTAAAAATAATAGGACAATACTACCTTCAAGGATATTTGTCAACTGAGAGGTATTAAGAATTTTGTTCAAGTATTTAGTCTGGCCAGGTGTA